AGAAGAGAAGGCATAAAAAAAAGACTTGCACACACAAATTAGAGTTTGGCTAATTGGGAGAATCTAGGGAAGCTCCACAACAGGACACCAGCTTGTTAGAGAGAAGAGAAAAACAGGGCTCAGTGAAGCTGACACAACGTAGCTGAACACGAATACTCAGTCCAGAAAGGCTGGGATTTGCAGCGATATGGAGCAGAAGCTGTGATTAACAAGGCATTCTAACTAACAACATTTTCCAAGTCAACAGAGCTAATGTTGCTTTGGCAGCCTACTATGCTTTGCTTTTTTAAAAAATACACCAACAACCATAATTCAACAAAGTCTTTTTATAGTAATAAATTAAACACAATGGGACAGATGCCTGTCTTGGCACAGCAAACATTCCTCCAAAGCCACACTTTGGCTTCCTTTACCCTCTATTTGCTTTAACAAGGTCCAAAACATTAACTTCTCCAGATTCAAGACACAGTTGTTCCTACCCAGAAGCCAACAGAAGCTCCTGCTTCTCTGACAAACATAAGCCCCTTCAGAAATATCATTCTGGAGTCTGAAAACCAGACTGAGAACTTGCAAGAAAGGCAAGAGCCCCCTCTGCCAAATCAGCAGCTTTCCCAACACCCTGATATTGCTCCTGCACCTACCACATATGGAAACAGCGACGGGAGCTCAGATGGCCTGGGCAATTCCTTGGAATGCAACTGCAGACAAAGACGCAACGCGGGGCTTCTGCTACCAGCAGCAAATCAGAGCCTCCATTTATAGTTTATCTGTATTCCCGTATGTGCGTGCGTCAGCATGGCAGCACCTTGCCAGGCAGCATCAGACTGCAGCCAGAACTGAAGGTCAGTTCCAAAGGGCTGCTGTGGGTACTGAAGCATGGCTGCGACCAGCAGCACGCTGCCTCCGCACAGGCTGCAGGGCAGGTCAGACACAGAGCTGGCAGCGGGGTACTGCCTCAAGACCAACCTCCTGTCAGTACTGCATCCACCATTCTCCAGCAGAACAAGGCTATAAAATTGCACCTACCGGAAGCAGGAAACATGCCAGGCTTCATTAACTGTCCTGTAGAGGCGCTGACCAGCAGCAATGAGGTCCCCACATCCCAGGCATCTCCAGACTTCTTCACCTGTATACAGGAATAAGGCGATGTCAGCAACCATTTTACATCAAAGAAAACAAGGATGGCTGCATCCCCGATACAGAACAGCCCTAAATTACACTAGGCATACCGTAGCCCCAATGTTTAGGGATCCCAAATTGAACTCTAATATCCGAAACCCTCATTTTTTCCCTCCAGATCTAACATCAGCACATGCTCCTCCACATTCTGCAGAAGAAAACAATATCATTTTTCACAGAAGATGACACGGTTAGGGCTGCACCACTCATTGGAGCAGAGATTTCAGGTGGAGATGGGCCAAGTGTGACAACTCCTACAGCCATGCTACGCCAGGAAGGCACGTTACCATTCCCCTCATGCCACTGACTCAGCACGTAACATTTCTGCACTTTCAAGTAATTAATTGGATTTCCCAGAACAGGAAAAAAGACAAACCTTATTCAGCAGAGAACAACTTGACTACCAGGAAGGAAATACATACTCAAAAGGATATTCCTGCAAAAACTGTGCAACCAACACTGCACTGGAGCCAGGCTTAGGAAGAGGAGTAGCTGCCACCGCCTGCTGTCCCTTCAGAAAATACTGGCAGTGTTTAACAAGTCATAAAGCCCCAGAGACAGCCAGGACGCATACAGGCTGGGAAAAAGAACAACAGTACAAAGACGCTAGCACTAATGTGGCACAGAGAAATGCTATCTGAGACCCAAGCAGATGTTTGGGTGCATTCAAGAGAGAGCCGAGGATGTGGCTGAGCGCAGGATGGCACAAAGAACACATCGTGCTGCTTCCTTCTGCTACTGCAAGCTGACTGCAGGAAAGATGCACAAGGAAAGAATTGCGCTTAGGAAAGGAAAACCACTAACCACAGATTTCCAGTTTCTAAAGAGTGTTAAAACTCGGCGGTTGCTCAGCGATTGCCCCTTCTTTCTGAGGCTTTCCTCTGCAGCTTCACCCTGCAATGCAAGAAAGCTCTTACACGGACCGAGCGGCAGCTCCCAGTGAAGGGAGCTGCCCTCACTGCCCTGCGATCACTGTGCTTACAGCAGCTGTCTGCTGCCAGGGAGGGAAGCTGCAGAGGATGGATAGCTCAGTACTAGGAAGGATGCTTCTTCTGCAGGGACGGTGCTTTCCTTACCCACAGCCTCTTTAGAGTGTTGGTTTAGGTTAGGGTTAGGGTGCTACTCCTGCGGCACAAGGCATCAGCGAGGCACAGCTCTGCGCTCAGCGCGTAACAGCAGGAGAGAGGGCAGCTCTCAGTGACTGCGAGCGCTCCACGGAACAGATGCGCCCCGCAAAGCAGCATCCGAACGGCTGGAGCAGCAGCCCGGCAGTCACCGCAGAGTGAGAATTTGAAGCGGAGCAGAGAACCGAGAGAGACACGGGCACCAGAGGTCAACGAGACGCCCGCTCTGCTCGCCGTAACCGTGCCGACGCCGTACGGTGAGCGGCTCGGTCGGCCAGCAGCTCCGTCACGTCCGAGCGGACGAAGCGCAGCCCCCCGCCACTCTCCCACGGAGATCAGACGATCCCCGACTCTTCGCCGCCGCAGGAACTCGCGGCGCACCGCCACGCAGCACCGCCGCGGCTTCGCACCTGCGGGGGGGGGGCCGGGACGGCGCCGCGGAGCACAGCACCGCCGCGGGGAACGTTCGGGCGGCTCGAGGACGCGGAGGGCCCGGAAGCCTGCGGAGCCGCGCCGCTGCGGCCCGACCCCGCGGCTCCGCCCGGACGCCGGCAGGAAGCGGCGCGGCCCCGCCGCAGGCCTCGAGCGATGGAGCGGCGCGCCCGCTCCGCCGCGCGTCCCCGCAGCTCTCACCTGGCGGCCCCGCCATGGCCTCGGGCCCCGCTGACGTCACCGCCGCGCCACACCCGGGCCGGGAGCGCGCCTCCCTCAGCCTCGCGCCGCCGTTCCTTCCCTCCCGCCAACCACTCTGTCGGCGCCGCGCCACGCCCCGAGGGAAGCTCCGCCCCCTTCCTCGCCGCAGGCCAATCGGCGCTCCGCCTCCCTCACGCTCCGTCGGAGAGAGCGAGCCCGCCCTTTCCGCGGCGAGGACCAATCGCGGCGCGGCCGCGGCCCGGGCCCCGCTCTCCACACGCGGCGGCGGGAGCGGCGGGTCTGGCGGTGTCGTCCTGCACCTGGCCCGGCCCGGCGAGCCGCTGTGAGGGAAGCGGAACTCCAGCCTCCCTCTTCCCGAGGCACGGCGCAGAAGCGGACTCCTCGGCTCGATCGCCAAGCACAAAGAAACGGCAGCTTACTCCCATCAATATAAAACCATTTTTTTTTTCTTTTTTTCTTTTTTAATTCTAAATCACTTTCACAACAGTGAAAATTAGTGAACAGTAACGGCAATAACGCACTGAACGAGCCGTCACCGGCTGCGTGCAGCCTGAATACGAGGGGAGCGATACACGGCGTGACACCTCCGGAGCTTCCGCCCCGCGACGGCCAGAGAAGAGCCGAGAAGAGCCGTCCGCGCCTCCATCCAGCACGGCTCCCAGGGCGCTGCAGGGAGGCACGGAACGCTGCCACTGCCCGGAGTCGCGTCTTACACTTACACAAATAACCCACTACAGTTAATAGAGGTGCCCTGCCCAGCAACTTTAACCATACACGTTAACGAGCTTAACTATGGAAACAGTTTCTAAGACTTGATTTGCTCTGTCAGTTTGTACGTCTATGATGAGGGAAGTCACAATATTCATCTCGCAGGAAATCATCGTGACTAGCAGTGATCTGAATCAAAACGATCTAAAAACAATAGAAGAAAAAAAGGAAATGGAGTTGTCTAGTCAGAGAAATATCAAAATTGTTCATCTCATTAGGAAATCCCTCGTGTCTGCTCTTCTGAAGGAATCTACACAAATATATCAGGAATACTTTTAAAGCTGTACACCCAACGTGATTCCAAATGGGCTACATTTCACCTTCGGAAATATTTTCCCCTTGGCACAGAGATGGTCGTGGTCTCCTCCAGCACTTCTAATTCGTGTCTTTGGTAGATATTGACGAGACTTGCACTGTAGCCGTTCCGTGCCGTGTTGCAGCCATGCGTGGCTGCACAGAGAAGCTCTTCCAAGTGTTCCCTGCTGTGGCATGTGCAGGATCTCATTTTTCCTCCCGCGTTGATTTTACAGTATGCCATATTTAGCTCTAATCTCACTTGAAGATGCCCTCCTTTCTCTCCCCAAACTTCAGGGTTGTTAATGGGATTTTATTTGCAATCTTGTGTAGAAAGTCTCACAGCCCTGGGAGAAAGAAATGGAGCTGCAGTGGCAAGGATGGGAGGGGATTATCCGTAAGTGCTGCTGCACAGAACCACGGAAGGCAACACTGTTATGTCAGTGAGGAACCGGGCTGGGTGAGGCAGATAGGCAAGTCCTACTGCTCGATAACCTCACCCAGCTTCATCACAGAATCTTCCAGTGTCTGGCTCCAGCAACTTTAGGCTTTAAAAAAACTGCAGCATAAATTAGTAGCTCTTCTAACCACATCAGGCAGGAGTTTTCCATTGCTGTGGGAAACAACAGCAAGAAAAGAAACCAGTCTCCACACCTGGTTCCGTTTGTATCACATGCTGTGCCCAAGGAGTCTCAGCCGTGCTGCAGATGATTTCCTGAAGAAGGCTGGACGTTGATTGAAGAAACTGAGTAACACCCACAGCGCTGGCAGATCCACCGTGTTTGCCAAGCATGAGATACTGATGGTGCTGCAGAAGTTTCCTTACCTGTCCAGTCTACCTTGGGGTAACTGTCTTTCACATAAACCTATTGTAACTGATTGGCACAGGATTTCAAAGCAGCACTCCTTTTAGGAGCAGAGCTCAAAGCTAGGCCCAGGGTTTGTGGTCAGAACCTGTTGTACTAGACAGCCGAGCTGAAATACGTTTTAACCAATGTTTAATTTCCAACTGTGGTGCAAAAATGTGAGATTCTTCACTGTGCTGCAGTACCACCAATTTCTGAAACCCGTCATTAGCTACGGAACCAGACACCAGGAGGTTTAAAATGGGATGGGAAGCAGTTTGTAACTGTTTCAGTAGCCTTTCTGGCTATGAGTATTCAGAATAATGGAAACGATTTACGCAATCAACAGCCAGAACATAATCACCAGAGCCACAAACAGGAAGAGGCGGGATAGGAACTGCTCATCCACATATTGAGGAGTCCCTGGAACAGCTGGAAAACAGGAAGTAAAACACGGCTCAGCATCTTCCTCTTCTCTAGAATATTGTATATTCTGCATATTGTACACTCATTACATATATATAAAATACACAAGAAATCCACCTGCTAAGAAACTGCTGCTTCCAGTACTGCCTACCCCTAGATTGGCCATCCATGCTGGAAAACTAAAGAGAAGCATGAGCTCCCTGCTGCAGGACTCGTGGCAAGTTTGCTCATGACTAATAGCAGCAGGCAGCTCCAAGGGCTACAGGACATCCAGATGTGCTCAGAGTACTTCTGGGGACAGCGCTGAGCCACATTCACTGCTGACGGGTGTTTCCATCCTAAGGAACACCACCACCTCTACCTGGGAGCTCCTGCCCCTCAAGGTGCAATAACTGAGTAAATAAGTGGTAGAACTGTGTGTGTACTCCTGACTAACAGAACTAACGAAAAGCATGCAAATTTAAAGCTCAAGACGTGCCTCTCTGAAACCTGCATATAGACACCATTGATGAGAAGACAAAGGAGCTGGTTAAACAATGGCTACGAGAGCAGCATACATTTCCATTTCCTTGCTCTGTCACATCTACACACAAACTTTCACTGAAGTGTGACCTACAAATGATAAGTAAATTCGGTGGAACAAAGGGCAGCACAGGTCTTTGGCAATGCAGGCGTGACATGAAAAACACGCTTCTGTTTCTTATGATTTCTAAACCATATGATGTAGTGAAGAATATTTGCCAGGCAGCACCTTTTGCACAGGAAGTCCAGAGAAAACCTGGGCTGTAGGTTTGTGTGTGCAAAACAGGCAGACTCAGTTTGACTACAGTGCAGCTGGGAAGAGGTTTTCTGAGGTTATTCATTTTTAGAGAGCAAGACCACTCCAGGAAATCAGACAGCAGTGACATATGAATAAGCCCTCACACAAAACATGTCAGAAATGGACTGTGTTTTTCCACTGCATGTTTTCCCTCTTCCTGTATTTCCATGTACAGTACTGATTTACTTTACTATTCAGCAAGTTTTGTCATTTAACAGGTTGTTTGTTTAAGTTACAAAAGGGTTTGTAAAATATCTGTTTGTGATAGGACTCTGAGCAGAAAGGATGCATGGTACCTGGAGGAGGTCGCCCATCATTTATGTTGAATGCTGTGGCAAATATACCAAAGGGAAACGCCCCGATTCCAAATGACATTTGGAAGCCACCATCTCCAAACCCAAAGCCTTGGAACCCCTGCAGAGAACAAAGCAACAGAAGAGAAAAAAAGGTACAAATAATTTAAAGCCTATTTCAGAACTGTTTGCCTTTTAGCCAGACTTTTAGTCTGCCACTGTTGTTCAATACCTCCCAAGCTGTCATGCTAAAAGCATTTACCACAGCAACCCAAGAGTTTGAGAAAATGACAAGTAGGAATTGCACTTTGTGCTTGAAGGCTGCAAATTAACAGGAATGTTTATATAAACCTTTTCTATTTAAAACAGTGTGTGTAAGACAATACATCAAAATCAACATTACCAGAACATTTAAAAATTGTATCAATAATTCTGTATTAACAGCTATTAGCCACATAGCTATAAAAAAAAGATACTGTAGAGAATAACCTGCACTGATCTTTTGATACGTGTGCATCATTTAAACCTTCAGTAAACGGCCAGTGGGATGGCAGTGGTCATTATAAAGAGTGCCAACACCCAAACAAACTAGAGAATCATATCACAATTCTAACTGATGTAGCATATAATCACCAAAGAAGATTTACAGTGCTACAGCATTGACCCCAGACTAAAATTCCACATCAAATCAGAGAGTGTTCTGAATTAAGATGAACCCTAGCGTATAAAAGCAGTGCACCATTTAAATCAACTAAATATTAATCTAAGTAGTTGTGTCACGTTTAAAAAGCGGACGGGTCACTGCTCTGAGTTCTATAATCCAGCAAAGTGTTTTCTGATCTCAGAATTAAAACTGTGACCAGCTGTGAAAAACCCCTCTGATCACCTCCAAACATTGAAGGACAAATATGACTTCATTCACGTAATAAAAGCCAGACATTTCTGCTCTGATACTCGATCATGACTTTTGTCAGATGCTATGCTATGAAGGGTGCTGTAAGGGCTAACTGCAGGGGCAGCAAAGCACTCTGCATGACAAGGCCTACATTTGCAGGAAACAGGAAGGCAGCATCACTACTGCTACATCTTTGAGACTCTCCTGACTTACTGCACCAGCTAAAAGCTGGAATGCAAGGGCAGCAGATGATTTAATAAGAAAGCAACTCCCTAGTGAGAGAGAACTGCAGTGCTCCCAATCTCTACAATACAGAAACGTTCCTTAATCACACCCAGTAGAGCTGTTTGCTTGAGCCATGAGGCTCATGCTCTCTGAGGACCCTGGGCTGAGTTACCTGGAATGAAACCATCGTTTCATCAGGTCACTGTCATCATGCCAGAAAACACTGTGGTCTGCTCTATAGCTACTCCCACATCTCTAACGTACACCAGCTGCTGTTTACATTCATTCTATGTAATCTCCTCAACAAAACCACAAATCCCACTTCAAATTTGCACATATCCACCAAGCACATCTACTTTTCTTCTTAAAATGCAAGGGTACACCAACATCCTATAGAACTTTCAAAGCAAAGCATTCCTTATGACTGCATATGGAAAGCTGTCAAGTATGAAGAACAGCATTGCCAGCAATTCCACAAGGGTTTTCATCAAGCACAATTCAATTTATTGCATTCTTTAGGACTGTAAATAGCACTATGGGAATGGAGTTTTCTGCCACACAGCACCTATCACCTATTCATAAACAGCCTCTGGGGATCTCTACAGGACCTTATGCACACATTGTGTCCTCCAAGATGAATAAGCACCACCATCAATGAAAACAAGCTATTTCCTTGAGCTTTTCTTTTTTTTTTTCCCCCTTACCCCTCTGTTCTCTGGTTCAGGTCTCTGTCCTTGGGGTCGTGGTGGAGTTTTCTCTCTACAAAAAATTGTAGAATTAGCTCAAATTTAAGCACACAGACAGCAATACCTGCAATAGGTTGGTTCATAACACAGAACAAACTTGGAGAATGCTCTCACAGGGCCATGCTGCAGCAAAACTGAAAATAACATGGCTGAACAGACCCAACAGCTACATGAACTTTCAGGATCACATTCCTAAGATGTTGCACTTTTCAGTACAAAAAAAATTCCATTGCAAAGGCTGGAAACAGGGGATCAACAATGAAGTCCATGAACATTTTATATAAGCCTCTCCAGTCAAATAACATCCATTGAAGTCTACTACTTCTAACTGTTAATTAACAACAAATTAAAATAAATTGCCAGTCAAATAAGGAATGTAAATCCAAACCCTAAAAAAGCCAGAATTATTTAGCAGAACTGTCATTTCTATCAGTCTTTTGACATCATGTCACACTGTGAATCCAACACTTCGGTGGTTTCACCTTAAACCCCAGCAGTTGTCACACAGATCGTTGTATTTCTGTTTATTACCTGGGGTCCTGTTGTCCAGTGCTGCCTCTTCCATACAGAGGAATAACTTTATCTCGACTGATTCCTGCTTTGCAAACAGGGCACACTTGTCTGTTTGGCCTGGTTTCTAACCACTAAAATAAAAAAAGGAAAAATTATAAGAAAGCTAATAGAACCATGAAAACAACATACAGACCTAATTTGTAGCCAGACAGATTTTAGGAACCTATCAGAAAGCTACAGCAAAATGTTGCACCAAATAGTAAGTACTCTCCATTAAAGCATTGCCATTTTGGCTATTGCTCTGCCACAATCCACTTGCAGATGTGTACACCATTAGAACTGCACTGGAAAAATGCAAGGAAATAAGCAGTACCAACAGCTTTGCATAAGCCAAGGCCTTGCACATCCTATCATCCTCTTCTATAATGGCACCACAAGGTAAAACTTACATTTGCAGCAAGAAGGACATTCAGCATTTAAGGCTACAAACTAAGCCTTCATGAACTGCCTACAGTAACTCTCCTACCAAAACCAGCAATACCTATTGGGTAAGAAACTGAAATGTGGGAAGTAAGCAGAAGAGAATCTAAGTTTTCTTTATGCTGAAAGTCTAGATTGCAAGTTCTTGTGCATGTTGCAGTTGTCCTGGAAAAAACGAAGTGCATCTGAAAAGGGGGGAGGATACTCCAGAGAACCAAGGGCTTCACTGAGTCATTGGAGCTGATGAAAGACAATGCAAAAGGAAACCTTTCTTACCTGGTGTAAACAAGGCCAGCTGTGAGCGTTCCCAGGACAATTTGATCACAGAGAAGGAAAAAAAAAAAAAGGGGGAGTGTGTGTGAATATAATTAGTTACTCACATCTTGATCTCACTAATGTATAAAGTGCACCCCGGATAACACAGCTTAGAGACAACAGAACCTTGGAATCCAGTTTGTCCAGTTCCATAACCTCCCATTAAAGCAATTTTTAAAGCACAGCCCAAGCCCGATCTCCAGGTTATGCAATTTAACTACGTTGCTAACATGATCATCTCCACATCACCTTTAATTCCTGCTACATTCACCTACACCAAAGCCCCAGACAAAGGCTGAATTCATCTTGTGGTATTTACTGCAAATGTTCTTTTCCGATCTCATAGAAAGATATCCCTGAGTTAAGATGCAAATGAGAAAATTGCCAGTAATGAGACTCCAGGATCTTAATAGAATTCATGAGAGTCATCTGTTAAATGTTAAAACATTGGGCACTTCCGTAGAACTGTGGAATAATTGAGGCTGGAATGGACCTCAGGCTGCCTCCTGTCTAATCTGTTGCTTAAAACAGGGCCAGCTGTGAGATCCAGTTTGCTCCCCATTATACAGAACTATTCCTGAGCTTAAATTAACACAGCAACTGAAGTACCCAAAGGAAAGAAAAGAAACAGAAGCTACAACTGCTCAGCAGCCATCTGCTTCCAGAGTGGCCTTTGCAACACTGTTCAGACAAGATGCATTCTATTCTTTAAGGTTCTATTCTTTAAGCTCCATTCCGTGATAGCAGACCTTCCAATAGTTTAATCTTAATATGACTTCAGCAAATTAATTCCCATCTCCTTTAGAATAAAGACCTGTACCTTTAGACATTACATACATTAGCACAGAAAAGAAATGCTCTTTTAGGCCTCGTTTAATTAATGAGCATAATTTAAACTGCTGTATAAAACAAATTACCCATGTCAATTTTCATAGCATTTTAATGTTCAAGAGTGTATTCTAGACCATGCTACCTAAATAAGAAGCTGAGATGGAAAAGAGAAGCAGATCACATGGAAAAGCACGTTCCCTCAAAAGAAAAGACTGCAATTTGGCATCTAGAACCTGCTGTCAGATGGGGTTGTAAGTATGTAAGGAATTTTAAACTGTAAGGAATTTAGGTGTGAAAAAGGTATCTATGGTAGCCCAGCCAGCACACAGCAAATAACAAACGTAACCAATCAACTTCTAAAGGGCTTTGCTTTTACAAAAGAAGGTATAAAAAGTTTAAGATGCAAAAAACTTCCTTCCTGGAACATGGGCATTTAAAAGATAAAAACAGTGCTGAGGCAAACCCAAACTGCTTCTAACCCAAACCCACGGTCCTTACTTTAAGACAAAAACTAATTTTTATTCAATAGGATTACAAACAGAAGGTGATCACAGAGATGCACGGTGTTCTGTTTATCAGTGGGGACTTGTGTGCTTACCAGAAGAGATGTCCACACAAGCTGATAACTGCATCCTTGGCAGTGTCTAAACAGATGTTACACTCAAAAGTGTTGTCCTGATTAGTGTTGTCCCCAGCACCATTACTGCTGCTGCTGCCACTGGTCCCTCCAGCACTGGAGCTCTTTGTTGATGCAGAAGTTGTAGGTCCTTTACTTGCCATCCTGAGGAGCTCCCCAGACACAAGAGCAAGAAAATTTTCCTGTTGGAATCCTAACAGTGAGAAAGGGAAAAAAATACCCACATTATTGGCATTATAGCATTGCGTTCTTGTCCTTATTCAAACTAGCAGTAATTTACCTAAGAAGCACTTGAATCCTATTGTTGATGGTTTTAGTTTAATGTAGCTTCTAAAAAAAGATCTCCCTTGGCTAAGCTACTTTAAAATCCTGCAGTAGGACCTGACTTATCACATGGCCTGTATCTCAAACTTAGTGACAAGAAACTGAGGTCCACAGTCAAAACAAAGCCATCGTATTTTCTCATAAGTGCCATTTGCTGAGAGAAAGATGAGCTCACCCAGTCATACTGCAGAGCAATCAAACATTTCTGACAATCATAGCAGCAACGTAGAAATTACTGAACTGACACGCTTTCAGCTCTCTTTAGTATCATCATATTTGTCAAAGACACCATTTCTTTTACTTCAGTAGCAACAACTTCTCTGTTGCAGGAATGTGAACACCTAGAATAGGCTGTGAGAGAGAAGCAGGCGACTATCTGAACCTTCTGCCAAAGCACAAACAGTAAAGCATTTGAAAAGGGGAACCTGAATTTTTCAGAAGCTAAATACTTTGCAAACTTACCCCAGAAACATTCAAAGCTTCCTTAAGTGTTCCCTCTTTGTAGCAGTGCTGAAGCACAGGCTCAGGACAGCAAAATAAAACCTCAGTATCTGTAGCTGTTACAGTCAAAACCCTTTTCCATACAACACAATCCAACCACGCAGTGAAGTAAGCTTCATACACAAGCCTCATGAAAGTTCTGCTGTGGTGACACTGAGCTACAACAAGGGAGAAGATGAGATTTATTCCTGCAGAGCCTTTTCACTCAGTTACATCATTTTGCACAGCGTCCCAGAAGGGCAGCTCAGCATTCACAGATGCTGCACTTTAACACACACTGCTTTCAGCACTGCTTAGCATTTCACACCATCATTTCAGTGAGCTCAGCAGCAAGGTCCTGCATTGTACTAAATTAACATTCATGGTAGCTCCAAGCAGATGAAAACGCTGCCAGATGACAAACAACACAGTAAGGAAGCCTAGAGTTTTCACACATCCCTACTACCAGAACTGTTGGTAGCTCCCATCTGTCTTGCTCAGTAATGCTTGAAAACTTCCCAACTCAGACCTATCCATATGTGCTGGCAATTAATATCAACATTAACAAAGTCTTCCTAAAACCAAAGGGTTCAAAACATGAAACATCACCATGATTTTATGGAACAGGCACAAGAGATGCCTGGTCCTCACACCTGGGCACAAAAGGGAACCATGCACAAGTTAAATAAGTTAACTTCTGTACTCATGTGGGAAGCAATGTTCTTTTCTCCAAATTCAATGCCCTATCTTTAACACCAGAAATACACAGATAATATCTTCACCTTCACTAACATCTGATGGAAAAAACAACCAAAAACAAACCCAAAACAACCAACTCACAGCCCTTAGTAACTGTGAGAAAAACAATTAAAAAACAAACAAACAAAGACCAACAGCAACTTATGAAGAAATACACTGAGAAATCCATAAGGATATCATTATTGCAATGGAATAAAGACAGCTGAGACAAAAAAGGACTGAAATCATACAATGTGACAGGCAATGAATTTTCTCTCCTAGAAGGTCTATGGTACTCTGCCCTGGAATCCTCTCCTAATTCTTTCTCCATAGGCTTACTGAGCTTGATAACCTATTAGAATTTAAATGATTTGAACTGTCGAAAATATATCAAAATGCAACAATAAAAAATAAATAATGTTATCCTGAAAAACCTTCACAGTGCTTTCCTCTTCCCTATGGACTGCTGTTTAACATAACCAGGTCCACAGCAAGTGCTGTCCACGTCCACCTGCAAAGCACACAGCACGCTTACAAAGATGCACGCTGAAGTGGCACTGAGTGACTAAAACGTGCACTCACTGTGTGCTGCATTGCTTGCAATGCAGTCTCAATGCTCAAGTAGGAGTTCAACTGCAAATTCAACTTGTTCCAAATGTCAAACAAACTGCAAACTCTTGAAATGGCACCTGAGCCTAGTTAAACTCCAAGGCTCCCTCCAAGTTAACCTCCAAGAACTTGGAAGGGTGACACACAGCAGGCCAAACAGACCCTGTTTTCTGTCTGAATTAGAGCTCAGGATGAAGATTGCGAGTGCACTGGCACATTCTACAACTTCTGGGGTTAAGCAAACAGAATTTAGAGAGCAATGACCGGACAGATGCCAGTCTAGGTTTGCTAAACCCTCATCTTTGATCAGCTCTCCAAATCAACCCTAGGAGCACGAGCTGCAAACAAGTGAAAGCACATAAAAATCAGCTGTGATCCAACTGCAAGCATTCAAAGATCTTATTTTTCTTTTTTGTTTTGCTCTCTATATATTTGCAGGAAATTACTGCCTTTGCTAATTATAAGCCATTTATACCAGCTGTTTATTTCACTGTAATCATAACCCCTATAATATCCCAACAGGCTGCTCCAAAAGCCACAGAATCACTGGCATTCACTGCATCCAGAGCACCAAGAGTGCCAACAGGTGAACGGTTATGAAGCAAGCCAGCTTCAGCAATCTTCCTCAACTGAAGAAAGCCTGGCGGGAGGCGAAGACATGGAAATGAAGGTAAATGTTTAGGGATCCAGCAGGACTCCCAGCGAGGTGCTGAAACTGCAAGCGCAGCTGGCAGAGCTGGAGCCGGAGCTCCAAGAAGCAGATGGTGCACCAAGACCTGAGCGATCCATGGCAACTGAGAGCAGCAGGTGGACCCTGAAGGAAGTAAGTGTGGGAAACCAGTCTGTGTAGTAATAAAAATGTCACTGACAGGCAGTAAGGAATGTTACTCAAATCCCTCAAAAACGAATCTGTAAATATAGCGGGAGGAGCTGCACACTAGTAAATGTAAGCCCGATGGATACTGTAAAAGACCGTATCTCTGGGCTCACAAAGTGACTGTTTGCTAAAATACACTGACCTTACTCTAGAAATACAAGAGAAGCTGTTCAAGACAGACTGGGAGAGTTTCCATTGTAAGTTAAAACACAGAAAATATTCCATTGGAAACAGAGCAGAGTAGGTGAACAATAATTGAACAGAGACAGAGAGAAGCTGATGTCATTAGAGTGAAACAGCTACAGAATATATGTTCAGAGCACTACACCATCAGAATGTTTTAAGTATTTCATTTCTAATCTTTTGTAAGCAGTAAGGGGAAAAAACAAAACAAAACAAAAAACAGTGAGGCCATAGGACTGGTTGGTTTACTGATAAAACTTGAAACTTGTTTCTTTTCCCAACATCTAACACATAACAATGAAATACTGCATTGTTAAATTTAAATTCGATGAGAAAGACGCTTTTCCACCCTTTTTTGCTTATGAATCTTATTTTATCTGGGACTTCTGAAACAATCCAGCCTTCATTCATTTCTGAAACAAGCTCTGATTTAGTTTGTCCACTTCCTGCTGTTTTAATGGAAAGGAAGATGTGTCAGTTTTTCCCATTACTGCAGTGGTAATATCATTTTTTTGGATACATATGTTGCAGAAAAGGAAAATTAACATCAGAATTCCTATCAAAAATACTGGCAGAATTTATATAAATACTTCTCGTTCATAGGGTTAACAGAAATCTGATTCTTAACCTGTTACAGCTGTCTGGACTTCAAGTAAAAGCCACAGATGATCTGAGCTGATAATCGTTGGCAGCGTCCAGAAAAAGGTACGTTTACTTCTTGACAGTCATTTTAAGGTAGATGTTAGCAGATACGTGACTGAAGGCACGCTGTTAATCATTAAAGGCACTTTTATATCTTGTTACATTTTTACTCTGCACCACTTAGATATTTTAACCCTTTTGAAACAGTCCCTGTAAATCCACCTTTTCACTTCCCATAACCCAGGCAGCACCACGCACCATAAAGCCCCGGGATCCAAATCTGTGCCATCATCTGACCGTTCAGAAGCACCCATTTGTCTGACAGAGCAGCGTGCCCTCGCTTGGCCTCATTTTGTTAATTGGGATTCTGCAACACAGGGCTGCATGACAGGCGCTGCTGGGGTACAGCCCTGCTGAACAGCACTGTGGGCAGCTGGAAGAAGCCAACACAGCTCACCAGTGCACCTCACCACTGTGCCACGCTGAGACAAGCTGGCAGAAAAGCAACTATGTAATTCTCCTTTATAAGTCGTTCCACAGAAATGTGATACTCTGAGAAAACGTCCTAGGAATGTCGAAACAAAGATTTTCTTCTCTTACCAATAAGTCTAAAGGGGAAAATTAAACAAGAAAGAACACCGATAGAAGCAGTTGGGTAAAGGAGCGAGCGTTCTGCTGGCCTGGTGTTACGTAAAACACCGAACGATCTGTAAGCAGGCTGACCGCGTTAGCAGCGCTACGTGAGCAAACAGGAACGGGGCCGCGGTTCGGTAAGCGCGGGGCAACGAGAGCAGGCACTCGGCAGCTGTTTGGCGGCCCGGCCCGCAGCCAGGCGGGAGCGGCCAGCGGTGCTGCGCTGCGGACTCCGGACGCGGCCTGGGAAGCACGGAGCTCCGCCACCGAGCGCCGTCAGGCGGCCGCGGGCCCGGCACGGCGGCGGGGCCGGAGGTCGGGCAGGAGTGGCGGCGCCGCGGGCCCGGCGGAGCGGAGCGAAATCCGTGCCGGACCCACCCCGCGCTGCCGACACCGGCCCGGGGGCCGAGGCTGCCGAGGCGCCCCCCGTCCCGGTCGGTCACAACGGCCGCGAACGGCTCCGGCCTTCCGGGTCGCCCCGGTGACGAACCGGCCCGATCCTCGCGTTCCGGAACCGCCGCGTCCCGTCTTCGGCTCCCCCCGCCCCCTGGCCTCCAGCCGGGCCCGAACCCGAATCCGGACCCGAACCCAGACCCGCCCGCCCGTGCTCACCGGCGCTCTCGGCGATCCGCAGAGCCGCTCCCTGCCCGCGGCCGCCGTCACCTGATCGCCCCGGAAGCGCGGCGCGGCGGAAGGGACCGGCCTATCGCTGCCGCTCCGCGGGGCCGCGTTCCGCCCGCACCGAGCTGTGCCACCGTGCCGTCCTACGGAGCTTCCCACCGAGCCGTCCCGAAGCTGTCCCGGCCGCACCGCCGGGAGCACAGCCGGCTCAGCCGCCGCGTAGCGCCGCCTCGGCTCCCCGTGTGACTTTCGGCTCTGCTCTCCCCGCAGCCCGTTCGTCGCCGGGCGCTGTGTCCCGATGCCTCCCGCTGCGACGAGCGCGGGCTGCGCGTCATCCGCGGCAGAGAACGTCCGAGCGGAGCGGAGGAGAAAGGAAAGCGGAGGCGAGGCTGCGCGAAGGGGTGCGGAGTGCCGCGGTCTGAGCAAGAGCTGCTCCGAGAAGGGAGCAAAGAGCGTTGAGGAGGAATTTATTTAGCTGTGAGAAACTGAGGAGGAGAGGACGGGCCCGGCGCTGAGGAGCTGTCAGCTGGGAGAGGCACCGAGGCGGCACCTCCGGGCTCTGTCCCTGCCGGGCACACGCTGCCGTGACAGCACTGCGGCTCTGCGTGCACCTGACGGTGCGGGGAATCCCAGCCCGAATCCCAGTGCCCTCCCACTAGAGGCGAGCTAAGGGAGTGAAGGTATTCAGTGGGGCTTAATGCCGAAGGAGCCTTTCTTACAGAGACCAGGGATGCTGTCTGAGGCCTGGGAATACGCAGGTCTCACGGCAGGTCCAGATGTGCCAGCTGGGAATTGCTCAGTGCAAAAGCACGCTGTGCTGAGCCTTCGTGCTGCTTCCAGTAGCACATCGGCTCGGTAAAGCTTGTATCAACGTAGTGATCCAGCAGCACTGCCAGAACTGCCACACACTTGGTGTACTGCAGTGGGAAACTTGTAGCTGTGGTGCTGGTGAAGCTCACGTCCAAAAGCAGCAGTGCCTGTGGCCTAGGACAGGCTCTGTGAAGCTGTCCTAGCAACACTAGCTGTGTGTTTGCTGCCTGTGAACATTTCCTTAGCTGAGAAGATAAAGCAGCATGGCTTGGCACAGCTTCAGCATGTAAGCAAAAATTTGGCATCTCAATATAGTATCAAGTGAGTGAGAGGTTAATGGGACCCCAGAAGCGTAAATGTATCCTCCAGATGCTGATTAAAAGAAGGATAAACTTCTGAAATTTGGACCAGCTTAGAGTAGTCAGCATGTAAGTCTACAGTCAAAGGCATTTCAGTATAAGTGAAGTTGTTTGGGGTTTTATAATCACAAGTAAGAGCAATGCTCAGAATAGTCTTTATTATTTGGGTATTTTATGATAACAAAAGTAGCCTGGAAAGAAGCAATGCTGTATTCAACATAGCCAGGGAATACTTTCAATCCCCAGTGTTCATTTTAACTCTTTATGTTTTATACCTCAGAAGAATTAAATATAATTATGAATTTCTATAATGCTTTATTTACAGTTCCTTCATTCTGCTTCTTTCCCTTGTTCCAATTTCTTTTTAAAATGGAAAAGATCCAGAGATGGAGAATCAGTAAGATTGAATGAGTGGAAAGAATGGTGTACAAGAACAGAATGTAAATGTTAATCTTGTTTAAGATAAGGTTAACAGGAACAAATTTACTTGAAATAGTATTCAGGTGGGGAACATACACGGAACACTCAGTAACTCTCTGCCAGTGACAGTGAATGTAAACTGAATGGCTTTAAGTGATGCCAGGGGATACTTGCCTTGCTGAGCAAGGAAATCAGCTTTCAAAGAAGTCAGCATCACCTTTGTAATGGGGAGGTGCTGTTTATGTGTATTCTCATGGTGTTATGTGCGTCGTTTTTCAGTGTAGCTGGCAGCCACTAACTGATTAGATGTGGACAAGACACCCCATAGGCTGGCTGCTGCTTCACTCTCATGATGGGCATGAGAATAAATGACTTGGATTTCATCACTTTTCATGACCTAAGTCACGAGGCTCACACCATACTTATGGCTCCAAATATTTATGCTGTGTATAGAGCCCCTCCTAGAATTCTCTTAGCAAAGAGATACATAGATGAAGAATCCAACGCAGTAATTTTCACATCAGCACTTTTCTCATCAAGTCTCCATTTTACAAGTATTTTCAACATAATTGTACCTTAATTCAGTATTAAATCGCATTTGGAAATGCTGTTCCTTGACATTGCCATGCAAGAGTTCCCATTTATCTGTGGCTTTTTGCCTTTGTCCCATAAGAGGAGCAGTTTCCAAGACCTCCGGCTCACTTCAGTTTTCAGTTTTCAATACAGCACCAAAGAGGTGGGAAACCACTTATGCCCGAAACGCGTCCCTCCGTGCCGACGGGCAGAGCCTTGGGCCGCCTCCCTCGATCCTTACTGCCAAGCGTCCTGCCTGTTTCTAAAAGCACAAAAGCGACGCCGTCTTTCCGACACCATCGGTCTGTGTTCACCCTCTACCTGTGCGTGCTGTTACAGCCGAGAACGCAGGCACCGCATCACCCGCACCCGGCAGCAGTTGCGGGGCGTCGGACGGACGCGAGCCGCGGTCCCGGTAGAGCACTTCCGAAAGGGCGGCGCGCGCCGCCAGCCGCGGCCATCTCGTGGGGCGCCGCGCCGCGGGACCACAGCGCCCGGCATGCCCCGCGGCCGGCGGACCGGCGGACCGGCGGACTACAGCGCCCGGCATGCTCTGCGGCTCCAAGATGGCGGCGCCCAGGAACGGCACGAGCACGGACAGCAGCTCGGACTCGGAGAGCAGCGGCGGGGCGGCAGCTCGGTTCCGGGAGGCGGCCTGGGACTGCGCGAAGCAGCAGGCGGCGGGGCGGGCGGAGCCGCGAGGCGGTGAGGGGCGAGGCGGTGGCCGGTGGCCGGGCTGTGCCCTGCTTGTGCCGGGCTCTGTCCGCAGCTCTTTCTCACGTAGTCCTTCCTTTGGCAGGCGGATTTCCAAAGGATCAGCGGCAGGCTGCTCGGCCCAGCCTAAGGTATTGCTCTGCGGGCGTCGGGGTTGTGTTTTGGTGAAGAAAAACCTGAGGTGTGCTACTTAATGCCTTGCGTTGCCTCGCACTGGAAGGCCTTTGGTACAATTGTAATCTGCAGTGATGCTTAATTCTAATAAATTAATGAAGTTATTTTGGAAGTATATTCCTCATCTCTCTAACAGTGAAGCAAAAGCAATTGAAAATAAATGTCTGCTGGCAGTTTCAGCATGAGTTCAAGTTGTCAGAAAAGCTCTAATTCTTCCATGCCCCTGCCATGCAAAAATTAATAGTTATGTTTTTTTTTTAATCACAAAACTTCTCATTTAAAGAATGGAGGGTTATATACAGAAGGGCAAATAATAACAATGTGATTGCAAAGCAAATCGTTTGTTGGGTGGGAAAGCAGTGTCTGAATTAAGTGCCTTGTAACAAAGGGAGTGCTGAGCTGTGTAAGCTTGCAGCATTTCTGCAGGCTTGGTTTCAAAAGCTGTCAGCCTTGCAGCTCAGTGCCATCCTTTCTCCTGGCACAGATTTTGCGTGAATTGTGGCAATGTACTCAAGAAGCTCCTACCAGAGAAGGGGTGTCCTGCCATCATTTGTTTGCTTTTGCAGGCTATTTCAATGAGAAAATCATCCTATTACTTTCAGGGAGGTGGCTGCACGATGTTTAGCTCATTGTTAGGAACTGAACTGTTGAGCTCTTCTGCTTTACTTGGCAGTTGTCCCTTATCAACTCAACATGAATTAGTTACTGCAGGGTAGGAGATTTTACAGCCCCCTGGCTCCTGTTTGAGTGAGAGTATTGGATGTTATTGCTCTTGAAGGAGGTGATCATTATTTTATTTTAAACAGACGTGAGGTGAATGACCATGATGAGGATGGAAATGAGCTACAGACCACACCAGAGTTCAGAGCACACGTTGCAAAGAAACTGGGAGCAATGCTGGACAGGTATTGGCATGTCATACTAAAAAGGCTTGTTGTATGGGTAGAGTGCAGTGATGCTTCTGTGTGCTAAAAGCAAGAAATTAAAGATTTGAGTGCAACTTGGAGAAATTGTTTTCTTCTCAATTCCTTCATTTCTGCATTTAATGCAAACTTCCAATATTCTGTGAACTAATTTGGCTCACCTGTTGTGTCCTTCTGGTAATGACTTCCTGTGCAACACTGCCAGTCTACATTTACCTCGGTTGTAAGTGCATTGTAGAGAGGAAGAAGAAGAATTTGGGTACCATATCATCATTTAAAGGCAAACATAAGAACCTTCCTCTCTTGCACCCTAAAGCTGTACGCAGTTCAGGATTTTACTGGCAGTATGCATCTGTCTGGGCCTGCTGCTGTCTTTATTATGTGTGTAAATATCACCCTTGGAACTGGAATTCCTGGTGTTTAAAGTTGGCTTTTAGAACTGTCATTCTTGTGGCATATGTTGCTGAGGGGAGGAGGCACGGTCTGCTCTGCAAGCAGGGAATTGAAACTTCACTAAAAAAAAAAAAAGAAACCATAACAGCACCCTGGTCTTCGTTTCCTATGAATTTCCAATTTTAGCTCAGTTTGTACAAACCTATCTAACATCTAACCAGAGTTTTCTGTTTAGTTTCATCACTGTCTTGAAGGATTCATCAGGACCTTCACCAGCTCGTGTGCAGCAGTCTGACTGTGGAGATGATGGTGAGTCCTAGTCGTGTCACGTCCAAGTCGTGGCCATTTGCTGATGCAGTTAATCAAATAATAGCAAGTGAGATGGATCCTGTCTGGTGCCAGTTGTAGTTCTAGCTCTTTACTGGCTGAAGAGCACTAGCACAGGGTTTCTTAGCATCAGTAAAGGCCGTTTCCTTGTTGTGACTGTTGTGTCCTAACTCTGCAGACTGACAGATGATTGTTACCAAGTATAGCCATCTGTTAACAGCAGCAGGCTTTCCTAGGGAGACTGTTGTGGATTGCTCTCACTTATTCCGTATTTTGGCTAAAATTCCTTTCTAAATACATATTTTAGGTTTTCGCCTCTTCTCCTCCTCTGTCCCAGGAGGCTGTGGGCAATCAGAGCAAAGCCCTGCCCCAAGGAGGAGACGGCCGCCTTGTTCCAGGTGAGGTGCTGTCAGCTGCTTTGCTCCTCAAGTGCGATTCCAGCCCTTGTTTTCATGTTTCAGAGGCAGCAGAAACTCTCCCGTGGGATTAGAAAGTTGAAGAGCTTAAGTGGTGTGTTTATGTGACTGATACTTGAAAACAGCCATTTTCTTTTCTTTCTTTTCTTTCTATTTTTTTTTTTTTTTTTTAATAATACAAATAGGAGATGTAAACAATTTTAAATGCTGACTGTAAGCATTGGAATCCTGGATCCACTAACTGTTCATTCCCTGTTCTGATCTTAGATAGTTCTGCTTTCAATGCTTTGGATGAATTCAAGGCAAACATGTAGCATAATTTCCTTCCCTTTCATTACCTTTCTAGTGACTCAGACAGTGACCAAGAGTGGCAAAAGTACCAGGAGGCTGCTGTGTCAGCAGCAGACATTCTGAAGCAAAGTGCTTTTCCTGCACTGTCCCAGGATTCCAGCCAGAATACGTGTCAGGGTTATGTGGAGCACAGACAGAAGAAAAAGAAGAAAAAGAAAATAAAGGGAGAGAACAAAACTGAAGAGAAGATAATAGACCCAGCAGATTGTGACCAGGACAGCAGAGATTTGCCACGGTTGGATTCTGCAAATGGACAACACAAGAGACAGGACAGCAGTCATACAGATAACAACACAGCGTCACCAGGAGCTGTGAAGAAGAAGAAAAAGAAGAAAGAGAGAGAATAAAGGCTTTGCTGTGCATTTGGGCAGGTGATTGTGATGAATGCTGGGAAAAAACAAATGCAGTTACTGCAGATGAGGGAGAACTAATTTGCAAAGCTTTTGTTCTAAAAGCTCTGTGGCCTGGGAGTCTAATTAAAGTGACTTCCTATGTTCTGACCTCCCTTGGGGAGCATTTTTCTCCTAGCACAGCAGTTATCTGTGCTGCTGCTTGCAGTCCTAGGATTAAATACTGTACACAGACCGGTGTGGTGGAGGGGTGTAATCATGGCTGCATCCCTTCTGATCTGTTCTCTCACATGCTGAAACCAAATCTTGTCTCTTGGAGAAAGCATATGATGAATTGAAGTTGGTTTACGTGGCAGCAGGTGGTCAACTTCTTTTTTGCTTTGATTTGCCTGTGGGAAACTCATTTATTGAAAAGCATTACCAGATGTTAGTCCCTGCCCCCCTCCATTTTTTCCCCCTCTATGATTATCAGAAGGATCTGCTGTTGAAACCTGCCGTGTTACTGATCCCTCTGTAGTCCACACCTCTCCAGGGCCCCTGTGTGTAAACAAAGCAGTGAGCTTATTTTGAGGTTGTTCAAAACCAGCAGTTCTGCATCCTAAATTTCTCTTAGAGTGTTTTCTGGATGGTTTTTTTTTTGTTATTAAATTCTTATTCACTATTAGTCTTATTTAATTTGGCAGGTTTGTGGGACAGCAGCTTTCTTGTGTTCAATAGTTCCCCCAGCAGAGACAAAACGGGCTGACGATGGCTTTTTGTTTGATTGCTGATCGGTGCTGTGAAATTGGTACAAGAAATACTTAAATCTCAGTTGCTGAGTTTCAGACCTTGTTTTGTTTCATATGAGTTTTGTCTGTGAAACGCAGTGGGTTTTGGCACTTAGCATAGCTCTTAATCTGCCTGTTTCAGCTGCAGTATTCCAAGAAACAACCTGTTACTTGGATCAATACTCTGCTCCTGTTGAGTTTCAGTAGGTCTAATTCATTGGCTCTGTTCAGGAGACCTAAAAGCTGGATTAGAGAAACCAAAATAGTGCGCTGATGCTCTTTGAACACAGGAAGGAAACAAGGTGTTTTCCTTCCTATTCTAAGATCCTTGCTGTTTGTCACTCAGGAGAGCACACTTGGCATCCAAAAAATGGATGAAATAGAAAATTGGCTTGGAAGTAATCTGGACCTGACCAAAATTATTTGTTTTATGGCCAGTTAAAACTTCACTGTACTGAAGCTAGCACCTCGAATGTCAAATGCATAACATTTTTTGCCTTGTTTTAAATGTTTTTTTGTTTCTGCTTTTTCTGAATGGAAGTTAAAATTGATTTGCAAGTAATGCACGTGGGCGATTAGGAAATCATCCTTGCATAGAATTCCTTGGAGAACCTGGTTACCAAAATTAATTTCTGGTGCTTGGTGGTATCTAGGGGAAGCTCTTGCAGGCACAAACTGTTATGTGTTATGTTATCTGCAATAGTGAAATTTCCAGGCATGATAACCAAAGAGTTCACTGTTTTTTAATTGTTCCATGTATCTTAATCTGTTCAGAATCTTGAGCATGTTCTGCTGTCCTGCTCACAGTAGCAAGAGCAGCCCTTATCACAATGGCAAAAACATGTTAATTGGGGCTTTTCATATGCCATGTCAGTGATATAAAGATTCAGAGTAAATAAAGAAGAGGGGAATAATTAGAAGAGGAATTATGTATGTAGAAAGTTTTCATTTAGTGCAAAGAAGGCTTTTCGACTCCGGGGGAATTATTTTCATATCAGGAACTACAGAATCTATCCTACAGGGAAGGCAGGAGTGAACAGTGTTCTATAAAATCCATCCAAGTTGGCACTGTTACAGAGAACTGAGGGAACTACTGCTGTCTGTGGAGCATGGAGCCCCGCTGGATGTTGTGCAGTGTCAGGGACCTGTGGGGAATGCCACCCTGGGTCGCTCAGCAGAACGTGTGAGATGAGCATCCACGTGGTTAATGCAGAGAGCTGAAGTCTCCTTGCTGTTAAACTTTAATTTCTGCATTTAAAACAAAGCAGAGCTATATATATATAAAAAAAAAGTAACCAAGCCATTTCCACTAGGATAGCATGATTTTAGAGTAGGTCATTTTGAACTGAGAATGTTTGGGATTTTGTAGTTAATTAAGGGGTTTACAGCTTGTAGTCCATGATCTTGTACTGACAGGTTTTTGCTGAGCCATTTCTGATCCAGTTTCTTGGTGACTTTCATTGCAAAGTCAGAAGCCAGGTTCTCACTCTTGCCTCCAAGTTGATATTATCTCTCATAATTCCAATTCAGGTTTCCTTACATCTAAGGAGGAGGAGAGTGCTTTAAAGATGGTGTCCCTTTTTTGACAGCTCAATTTTTCTCTTTTCTGCATGGCTTACTTTGGTGTAGGCAGGTTTGTACAGGTCCAACCTAGTGAAGGTGAGCAGAACCAAAGTTCCACATACATCTTGGCATTTTTTTGCTGTATTCCAGTCAGATCTCTGACTTTATAACACTCCTTCAGCATCCACAAGGATGTCTGGTCATTCTAGGCTGGCTCGTGGGGTTGGGTTTGGTTCTGGGGGTCTGTAGATCCTATCAGTGCCGGCACCACTGTTCCATAGCTCCTGCTCTGAGCCTGAGCCATCTCTTCTGGAGGCAGCTGAATGAGGGATTTATGAGGCAGTAGGGGCTGGAGGTTGGCTGACTGCAGCAACCATTCCTTCCAGTGGAAGGCAGTGGTGACAGTGACGGCAAACACAGTTGGAGTTGCGCCTTATGCCTTGTCCTGGCAGCTCCCTTTGGGTGGTTGTCTTGGTGTTACTGAGTGGAGGATGCCATCTGCGTGGAGATGAAGGTCTCAATGACGTTATGGGTGGATGGCAGCAGCTGACTGTGGCTGTTGGTGGAGTCAGAGCTCTGGTACAGCACCAGGCTGCTGGAGGACACTGTTAAAAGCACAGGTAGAAGTTACGTACAGATAGCCAGTGCAGTCCCCTCCTCACACGTGCACCTATTTGCAATATGTGGTTTAAGAGAGTAAGTGGCTGCTCCTCTTACCAGCAGGGCTTGAGGTGAGGCGAGGACCAGACTGCAGGTGCTGGATGGTTGTGTCTTGGTTCTGTAGGTGTATCGCTGGTGCCTGCGATACTGGTGTATGGATCCCAGAGTCTGTGTGGGTTTCTGAGTCAGATGTGAATGCCTGGAGAAAAGAGTTAACAGTGCCTGGTTTCTTCATCCCTACTAACAGACGTGGGGGAAGAGGATTAGAAAGAATGAGCAGGTGCTGTTTCCAAGGAGATTAAATCCTTGATGGTGCAGTGAGAAGCTTGCTCTAGTGTCTCCAGCAAGGCAAGGAGATGAGATCGTTCTGCTGGGATGGCATTGACCACACACCCAAAAGCTCTTTGAGAAGCAAGGAGCTCCCGGCAGACTGATGCAGCTGTAAGGTGGAGGGGACACATGTGCTAAGGCTGTTACCTGTTTAGTTGGTGTCAGGTTAGTCAGCGCGCTGAGATTGGCTGTGTCTGTTATCACCATGGTTTGTGGGAGGAGGCCTGTATGTGTGTACTGGGCCACTTCAGACTTGGGGCCGTAGAGAGCTGTACACAAAACAAAAATAACAACCCAACAAGATCATGTGGGAGCTGGAGCTTTGCGTGAGGTTGGTTTGGCTGAGTTTCTCTCTTCGTGTGTGCAGACCTGCTGCCTGTCTCTGAAATACTGGGAACGGAGGGGCAGGAGGATGAATGCGAGAGGAAAATAATTTCATAATTATAGCAATTAAGTTTCAGAGCCAGCAAATGCTCCAGAACAAAGTGTTTTGTTTTGTATGAGCAGATGAGTTTGCACTCTTACCATGGGGGTTCTGTATCTGGGCCATGGTAGCCATGAAGGGGCTCTGGTTGATGTGGCTCTGGACCTGCTGCATGAGGGGCTGCTGGTAGGACGGGTGCAGCTGCTGGGAGAACTGGACTGGCTGCAGGGTGGTGAGGCTGCTCCCCATGCTGTTTATCACAGGTACACTCTGGGGCTGGGTTGAAGTCAGGCCTGAAAAACAAGGAGTGATGACAGCGGCGCTGCACGCTATGGGAGGAGCGGCTGCTCTGCAACAGGAGCCTCTGAAGCAGTCACAGCAGTTCTGTCGGAGCAGTGGGATCAGATTCTGCTTTGCAGGAAACCCCTTTGTTCGCTGTGACTGGGAGTAGATTTCATGCCTATGAAAATGAAGCAGGTAAGTGCAAAAGGAATAATGCAGGCAGCTACTATAAAAAGCTCCTCCGACTTCCCGTGTTTGTTCCTGCAGTGCCTCCTGTTGTACCAGTACAGATCGCTTCCCTCTTAAGTGATAACATGATGTAGATTTCCACTGGGGAGTCCTTGCTCAGAAGTGAACCCAGGGCAACATCTCAGTGTCTCATTCCTTTATTCTTTCCTTTTATATTAAGTTGTAGGTAACAGATGACTGTGCTGTAGCTGCCCAGCCACACGGAATGAAGTTTAAGCTCATTTTGTTTGGGCTGCTGAATTCTGGAATTTGAACCAGTGAGAAAGGCAGAAGGTTTCACTCATCAGTACTCACCTCTGTCTATACCATATTCCTGGATATGTAGGGTGTGTTCCTACACCCTATTCATCAAGCCTCTCTAGCACTGAGAGAATGTTAACACTGTGGAAATCTCTTAATTATTCTTCTTCTTGGCTTGCACAGAATTGGAATCAATATCATAATGTTGGCTATAAATTGGGACGTGGAAATTGGTTCATGGTTGTTGACAAACAGGACCTCTTTCTTCCAGAGAAGAAAGGGTAAGAAGAGAGCACACATTTTATTCTCCTTTCTCTAATGAGATGCATTTTGGCAGTTGGTTTTTCCTGGAGTGAAAAGAAATCTGATAGCAGTCCAGAAAAACTGTTGAGGTAAAAAAAAACTAAAAAAAATTTTAAAAAATTAAAAAAAAAAAAAAAAAAAAAAAAGAGTGATGACTGCATGTGCTTTTTGCAGGAAGTAGAACAGGATGTTTTGTCTTTCACTGTGAACATGCTTAAATTCCCTTAACTGAAAGCTGGCATTATGTTTATGTTTGGGAAGATGCACAGCAGTAGAAAAAAACCATTGGCGTAGGAATAGATCACGGAATCCCTTGCTCTCAAGACTTGAGTTTCTGTGTGACTGGATTCTAACATGAATAAGGATGTCTGTCCCTTAATTTCACAGGTACTTGTCAGTAGTGCAGTTGAAGATCCTTAGTGTTTGTGGCCATTTCCCCAGGTGCGTCTCAGTGCCAAATGAGTGCTTTTATCTCTGAGGGTGAGGGAGGTAATTCTATGTAGCTCTGCACCAGAGTCCTGATGGGCAGAGTTACCAGAGCCAACAACCCCCCAAGCACACTGCTCACCTATTACCAGGGTGGAGCCGCCGGTGTTGGTGAATGCAGGCGCCAGGGATGAGGTCTCACCAGCTCCGATTGCCATCACGCCGGGCAGTGAGGCCATGATGAGGTTCTGAGTTTGCTGGCCCAGCGCGTGGGGGTTTTGCTCTAGGCTGTGCAGGGCAGTCAGGGTGCTGACGGGGGGCAGAGTTCCTCCGGGAGCTGAGATCTGTGTGAGAGAAGGACAGTGGAGAAGCCATCTGCAGCAAGCTGAGCGTGGAGAGTCCCAAAGCTGTCAGCAACTTCTCCCTGCCTGCCCTTGACCCCTTGCTAACTGGAAAGACTTCACCTTTGCTTGTCTGCAGTCTTTGTGCTTTCTCATGCTCATCAATTAACCAGCAAAGGTCAGGTGTTGAAATACGAAGAGGAAATCCTTGCTCTTATAGTTTTTTCTTACTTAAAGACTATGAGGGCTGTACAAACACAGATGAGGTCAGTCCCACTGCACTCCCTTTGAAGGGAAAGTTTGTCCTCTGCTTCACAACTGAGGGAAGAGGGTTGTGCCCAGAGAAATTCGGAAGGAAGCTCACTACAGAATCCTCTTTCCTTGTTCACAAGGAGTTCACAAGGAACAAGGAGTTCTTCTTTCCTTGTTCACCGCTTCCTCTGAGAAGTGCCTTTAATTTCCCTTCCTCTCAGCAAGTGTCTTTTTGTGGCCATTTTTCAGATTAAGATTTTAAAGGGCTTGCTGAAAATATTCCTGAGTTGTTCTTTTTTTTCCTTGTAAAATATTTTCTTCAGGCTACGTTAACAGTTCCCTGCTGTTAAAGGGGCAGCATATCTGTTGGACAAATTCTGTGCTTGGATGTCTCGCTGATTTAGGCTGTGACCTCGAGTCACCAAGAAATCTGATAACTGGACTGTTTTCTTGACCTCTGAAATGAAGCACATCACCTCTCTGTGCTCTGATGGGGTTTGAACTTGCAAGGCCCTGTAGAGATCTATAGCTGGGATATTGTGGAACGGCAAAAAGGCATTCAGATAAATTGGCTGATGGAGAAATTTCAGTGATTTATACTGTACTTTTTCTTTCCCCCTCAGAAAAAATCTGTAAGAATGCTTTACTAAGAGCAAGCA